AGGTTGTAGCATTATTTCATAGTCTTTTTATATTTTACTGATAATCAAGTGCTTTTAGTGCATGAGAAGGAAAAGGAAGTGAAAATGCAGACTGCTTGTCAAAACAACCATTCAGAAAAGTAAAGTTATCAATAATGTACTTTATTTTCTTCAATGGTGTAGCTACAGTATATGTGAACACTCATGTGAATTAACAGGTTTGGGTTTTTTTTGTTGTTTTCCACTCCCATTTGGTACCTAGATGTGAAAGAAAAGCTAGAAAAGTTCAAAAATAAGTCTCATGCAATTCATAACTGCTGCAGAGAGGGCAGGAAAAAAGCTGTTGCTGAGCAGTTCTACCCTTCCAGATGTTTATACTGAACTACCAGATGTTTTTCTTACATTTATTTCTTCATTATAATAAGTAAAGGACTGTCTTCAAACACTGTGAGACTCCTTTAAATCAAAATTTATACAAACTCAGAGTTTATACAAAAAGAACCTTCAGCTTTTTTATCTGTACCCACATTAGTTCCCAATATTACAGAGTAAACCACATTTCTGCAAACAAAGGGGATGATTCTACAGGCAGGAAGGTCCTAAGTGTCTTTTTACTTCCCAGGAACATAAAGGGTAAACAATTCTGATTTCATTGTTTGGTCTCCCTACATCCTGGGGGTTAGCTGTGGTTCTTGGCTCAACAGGCATGCCTAATTTTGGCCAAACAACATTGAGAGCTCACCCAACATAGAAAGTTAATCATCAGGATTAGTAAAATACAAATAAGGATTGTTGGTATCGTGCTTATTTGAACTTCAGTTATAAACCCTCAGTATCACAATCTCACAGTCTAAATTCTAAATAGAGACAAATGCCCAAAGATGCATATGGAGGTATATGGCAGAGTTATCCACACTGTAAAAATGAGAGGTGACAAATTAGGATGGATATTTAATCAGCATTTAGGGAGGAGAAATAAAGACTAACTTTTCAACAGCAACATTCTAAGCCACTACTTCTCTAGAAATGCAGGTATGCACCTGAAAATTTCAGAAAGACCCTAGCCTTTCATGACTGATTCAAAGCCAAGGAAATCCAGACCAGAGCTAGTTTATCTAGGCCTGGGCTCTGAAATCCTTAAGTTGGTGCTTTCACTATTTCTTAAAACAATAGTTAGATATTGTCATCCATTTTTGGGCCAAACTGGCCCTGACAAATGCTTTCAGAGTCTAACTATGATCCCCAGCAGAAAAACAGTTTAGCTTTGTCTTTAAATGTAACATGAGAAAAAGTGGAGAACAGAAGAGAGGATGCCAAGTTTCAGCTGATGTATCTGCTCAGTTTCTGCCAGTTCCCTGATTGCTCATTTAAAGGGAACACATGGTGGTGGTGAAAGGCAAAGTGTCACTGAGCTGCAAGCCAAACCAGACATGATTTTATGGCTGTGTGCAGTACACAGATCAGTTCTTCCTTAGTTCCAATGCAAAGGAAAGGCATGGTTTAGAGAAAGAGCTTTATGTTCCTTGTTACTTTTGAAAGATTTCAAAAGCAGCCTTGTTAAAAGAAAAAAGAGCTCAGCTATGAAATCACTTCCTTCTGTTTAAACTATTTCACTCAAGGAAAAAAACAAGAGGGCATGAAAAAAAAATAAAAATCTGTTCTCTGCTTTTGACTTGTTGCTAGGACTCAGCATCCCACCCGCTCTGTGGGATGACGCAGTGTGCCAGATCCCGACCGCTCCAGTCAGTGCGTCAAGCGGCCATAGCCCTCCCCACACAATCACCCTCTTGTCAGAGGCAGCTGGCACCCTCCCTGCACATGCTGACAGCATCACTGCCTGGAGGACTGCACCCCTTTGGGGCAGCTCTTCTCCTGTTGGAGCAAGGCAGCAAGGCATGAAGAGGGCAGGCCGTGTTAGGCAGCTAACAAACAAGAAGCTCTTGTGTTGTTCCCTCCCCCTCCTGCCTCCCAAACGCAGTGAGAATGCAGGCAGGGGAAAAGATGCTCTTCTGCTTGCAGCAGCAGCAGCAGCAGCATGGCTTTGCCTGGGAGTAAGCCAGCAGGACAAGTCCAGGACACCCGTTTATGGAAGTTTAAAAGTCAAATGAACAGTTCACTGCTGCCCAATTCACAATGGGGTTACTTATGGCTGAGCAGCATTTTAACAAAGATTCTAAAATGAGTAATGGTTTGCCTCCCTCTGCCAATGCTCACAGGGTTACCCAGAGCCCCAGTTCTGTTTTCCTTTCAATCCCAGGGCACCCTCCCTCTCCTCCAGAATGAATTGTCTTCTCCTGTGTAAAGCAGGCTGACACAAACCAGCTCCCTTCCCCACTCAACTGTGGGGAAGGAGAGGAGGGAGGAGCATCTTCAGAATAAACTACTCTCCTTCCCAGCTTCACTTCCTGCAAAAAGTTGGTTTCTGCCTCAAACCTCATTGCTCAATGTATTGAGCAATATATTATTACTCTGATCTGCACCGTTAAGAAAGGCAGGGATTCTTTTCCTGCATGTTTTTGAGGTTCACTGATGTAGAAAAAGCCAGATAACATGAGATAAATGTTCAGCAAATTGCTCCATGCAGACTAACACACTCACCTTTTCTGCCCTTCCCAAAGCTCCAGTAGATAAACATGAAGCACTACCTTTTCAAGAAGGCACTCAGGATGTATGACCCTTGAAATTAAATCTTCTGCTTAAGAAAACTTTAAGCCAGACTTACAAGTAGTCTGTAAACAGTGATAGAGCATCACCAGACCTGCCTGATCAACATGCTGACCACACTATTTGCTTGAGAGATACCTGCTGATATCTGTGATATCTGTTGCCCAGAAGTCCTTTGAAGTGAAGCTTAGCTTTTCTTCTTTAGAACCACAAAACAATCCTCCCCATGAAGTGCAAATTCAGCAATATGGGATGATACTCCCAGCTGATGGTAACTAATGAAAATTTCTCATGGTGTACATAGCAGTCTGGTAACAACTTGATGCACAAATATTTAACTCCCTCAAAGTCTCTGTGGTTACCCCAAAGCCTAACTCTTGACTTCAGTCTATTCTTTATTTATTTCTTTCTTAAATTAAAAGAATTTACACAGCAAACCCACAGCTGTTTCCCAACCATCTTTATTTTGCAACTGTGCCTCCCAGGTGGTAAGGAGGTGAAAGCACTGCTGCTTCTTTACACTACAGGCCTATGATTGACCTCCTCTAGCTTTCCTCTAGAAACCACATTGCTTAGGGAAAAAACCAAACTGAACCAAACCCCAAACTCTTTGCAAAATAATACCAAGGTGGGAGCTGCAAAAATGATAAAGAGTGTCTACAAGCACTTTTGTTTCCTTTGAACAGATTCAATAAAATAGTAAGTTACTTAATAAAATAATAAGTTATTTAATAAAATAATAAGTCTAGTACCATACATGCTTGGGATTAGCTGACATTTGCCATTTATTCAGTGACTGCTTATTGCTACAACTCCACATTGCATTGATAGAAATGCCTTCTATTTTCCATCCACCTTTTTTAGTAGGTGTTTTTGGGGTCTTTTGCCTTATTTTTTTTTTTTTTTTAAGTCTGAGCTAGTCTTTCACCTCATAGGAAATACTGTATGAACAATAATGTCTTCAGGAAGGAAAACAAAGAGCTATTTCCTAAAAGAGGACTGCAAACCCCACATTTTCTTGGTATTCTTAAGCTCATCTTTCATTCTGCCATAAGAATCATGGAGATGGGAAAGGACAGATTTTTGAACCAACTGGAGGTCAGGAGAGGTTTCACCAACCACTACAGTCTCCCTTGGAAAACTCATATAAGTTCCTTCCTTGAAGAGAAGAGCAGGACATGAAGGAATACATCTTATCAATGGTTTAGCAGGTTAGTTAACTGCACAATTCATACTCTGGTTAGAAAGCAAATTACTAGGTCAGAGTACAACATGTAAATTCTTAAACTAAAAAGTGAGTTGACACAGTGACTCACACCCAATCTCTGCCACCCTTCTGCTACGTTTGTGATAGAAAGATCAAGCATAAACCTATGAGAACCATAATGTCAAGGAGAGAAATGGGGCTAAGTTTTGGGCTTTGTGGACTGCATAACATTTGCATTTATGAACTGTTAGGGCAACCATCTGATGCAACAGGCTACTGGGATACCTGGAGACACATGTACTGTACTGGGAGACCTAATAGGTGAGAACACATATTGGGACAAGGAGACAACCTGCACCATCACTATCATCTGCAGGAACAAAGAACAGAACAAACAGCAAAGATCAACAGGAAATGGTACTCAGCCTTTAGGCTGTGCTTCTGCATAAGGAAACTGGGAGCCCCAGACAAAACCCTAGTAAAACTATACACAAAATTACAATAACCTCCTGAATCCAAAATGTGTTATGGTATTTCCCTCATGCCAAACACTGAAGCCTACGCACCTCCTGAGCAGTGTGCTGAACACCAGTATCTCACATGCTACCTTCCTGTATTAGCAAATGCACCAAACACTATAGGACTGGGTACATGCAGTCCTGCTTAACACACAATCTTTTTGTGAATAGCCTGTAGCTCCTGAGGTGTTCCGTATACTGGAATTTCACATGAATACACACAACACCTTTTTTGGTGGCAAAAAGGAGACAACAGATATTTCAGTGGAATACCAAGCCTTCCCTGTACTATTTTAAGTTGGAAGCCATTTGGCATCTTCAAAGGCAAAAGGACAAACATTATGTAATAGGTTGCTACAAAAGATTTTAAACATGTGTTGCTGCAAAAAACCACCACATTACATTTTCACTGATTTCATGTTACAGGGCTGAGTGACCATGTCACATCAACTTCCATAAATAAGCTTGATAGTCCCAGTGGTCACAGTAGTGAACTCTGAGTGTCCTTATTGTCTGCACCTCTTCCAGCGTCTTCCAAATTCTGCTGACCCCCAGGAGCAGAGCATGCATTACTGAAATCACCTGTTGAGAAACAGAGCAGGGAGAACAGGGTGGGCAAAGTAGGCACTTACCAAGCACAATGACCACAGTCTTCAGGAGGCTCATCATGGTGTCCCGATTCCTGCGGGGTCCAGAACTGTGCCTGGACATTCTCATAGTCCTTTGGCGAACGTACCCAAAGATGTGAGCATATAGGACCACCATGACCACAAAAGTGACCAGGTTGAAAATAGCCCAGAAGACCAGGTAGGAGTCACTATAGAGCGGTGCCATGTTGGAGCAGTGGGTGATATCACAAATGCAGTTCCATCCGACACTCGGGATGGCCCCCATGACGATGGCCATAGTCCAGATAACAACAATGACAACGACCACCCGGCGGTTGCTCATCCGAGTGTGCAGCTGCATTCGGAAAACCGTAATGTGCCGCTCAATGGCAATGGCCAACAAGTTGGCTACAGAGGCTGTCAGACTGGTATCAATGAGACCCTGACGGAGAAGCCAGGTGCTTACAGTCAGTCTTCTAGTGTTGGGTCCTGTGTTGAACATTAAGTAAAAGTAGGCCAGCCCTGCAAAAAAGTCCGCAGCAGCTAAGTTGGCCATTAAGTAATAAATAGGAAAGTGGAATCGGCGATTGACATAAATAGCCACCATAACCAAGAGGTTGGCCAGCATTATGAAGATGCAGACGGTAATCCCCAGTCCCATTACAAGCTTGCTGACAGTGTTCCATTCAGTGGCTAGATATTTTCCACTTCGGTTATAAAAGAAGGCAATGGTTTCATTGTAGTAGCACTGTGGTTCACTCATGGCTGTGGACTGAAAGAAGAGAGAAAAAAAAGAGAGAGAAAAAAAATCCAGAATGACATCAGAACTGAAAACATGATTGCCTTCATGGCTAAGACATACACAAAGAGCTGGGAGGGGGACAGGAAAGGAACGTGCCTCAGAACAAATAAATTGTTGCAGACTACATGGTATTCCACAACTCACAAACAATTGCTCTGAGGAATCTAGTAACAGCAACCAGATTAGAAACAACCAGAAATGGTTCCATCTGCTCTGGGAGCCAGCATGATTTCTGATGTAGTTGTAAATTGCATAGAAAAAGAGCTTCTGGCCAAGCAGTTCTGCTGAGAGATTCAGTTAAAGGCATGCAATTCACAATTAAGAAAAATTAACTCTGCTAAACACCTTATTTATGTTATCAGTGCACAGAACTGTTGTTTGATTGTAGTGGAAGAATAGTTCTTCAAAGAGGAGGAAATGTGCATTACGTTCCCAAGTAGGTTTTAACTCAGTCCATTTTTCATCATGGGTATTCCTTCTTGTCCCATCTTAAAATGTGGGAAGAGCACCCTAAATAACGATTGTCAGTATGTTCTGAGACCATGAATTACAAGGGATAATGTATGTCCGTAAAAAGTGCTTTTATGAACAATAAAGGAAGCATGACATAGCAATTCTATGAGCACCAGCCACGTTTCTACAAATGGTTTGAAATACACAATGCTTTTAAATATAACCCACCAGAACTGACTTATTCCAATTTGAAATAGGAGTACGCCAAGAAATAAGAAAAGTATATTTGGCTTAACTAGTGTTAAAAGCATTCACCCTTATTTCCTGCAATAACTATTGTTGTGGCTATGTCAGAGAACACATGATTAATTTTTTTTGCAGAGTACTCTGCTGAGAACGGCAAGGGGGACAACAAACGAGCCCATATTCCACACTGGAATGTGGAAGTTTTGGATAAAACTGTTGGCTTATAAGAAAATGTCTAATGAGTTTCCTTTTCCAGTTGCATTTAATTTCTCAAGGTGCAATTCCCAAAAGGCAAACCTTAGGAAAAGAAACCCCTCTGAATAAAATCTGGTTTCTTGTTTAGCATGGGTAAACAGCAAATATGTAAAAATAATAATTTAAAAAAAATCAAACCAAGAAACACATGTCAAAAAAGTCTTTTTCTATATATGATCTGCCTTTGCCTCTCTGCTTTTATTGCTCTGGAACTCTATGGACTAAACTTGAATTTTTACAAAAACAGGACCAGTTTTAGTAATGCAGGTAAGAAGCCAAATCAAGGAACAGATTGACAACACTAAAAGACGGCAATTTCTTCCCATTAAAACATACAAAGTTAACCATAGGTTTTGGACAGCTCCAGTTACTCTGCAGGAAGTCTTACAGCCAACCTAACCTTCTTGTTGAAAACAAAAACATACAGAACTGGGAAACAGAATTCATAGCTTGACTGAAGTGAAAATAGTATCTGATAAAGATCTCTTTAGAATTACCCAAAACTGTTTCTATTTCTTTTCATTTCTACATTTGTCAATGCAATTAAGCCAATTCCAATAAAGCAATATACAAAACTTTCCACCTATATCCCAAATGGACTACATGATGTTTAAATTTATGTTAAAGAAAAAAGGTCTTTTAAGAAAGATTTTACCTCCAGCCTAAACATTGACCAGAAACATTTGCAGTCCCAGGATAATAAAAAGTTAGAGTAAATAGTATTTCTCAGCACAGTGAGTATAATACCTTTATTGCTCCTCTAGGATACATCAACCCTTGGGTTTGAAGCCTTTTAGCCTTAATTATTTAAGAAATTTTGAAAGTTCTCATGTAGGATCTGTTGCATATAAAAAAAAAAATATTATAAGGGACGTTTAACAAAAGGAGACCTAGCTACAAGACATCTGGCTTTAATTCTTTGGTTAAAGACCTTTTAGTAATAACAGGTCAAGTATAAGAACCCTTGAGGGAGAGAGGAAGTAATATGAATGAATTAGTGGCCCTTATAAAAGCTTGCCAACATCTGCATTAATTATGTAATGCACAGGATTTTTAGTCTCTGTAGGGATATCTGGATGCAGGATCTAGTGGACACTTGTGATCTTGAATAAATTCTCTTTGCCTGTGTATTTGTCACTCTGTTTTTTTCTTTCATATGTCTGCTGCCCATATGTAATGATTCCTGCTTCACTGTTGCTCCTATGGAAAGAGGCATGCTACACCTGGAAAAACATGAATTTTTAATTCAGAAATTTAAAATGTGGCCAGTATTATGCTTTTTATTTTCTTTTTCCTTCTTTTTTTCTTTGTAGTTTTGTTTTGCACATGGGCTTAAAATGTGAATTATTCCCTGATTGTGCAATGTTCTCCCCTACCTTTTAGTTTGAAATCTGAAACAAAGTATGACAAAAAATATGACTTAATCATGAAATGCCAAGCCAAGGTGGAATGAACATGGACACATAAGGGTATGTAAAATGCTACAGAGCCAGACTTGTTCAATTTAAAACTATGACAGCACTTGAGCAATCTCAGAGAAGTTAGCATGAGGCTCACTTGCTGCTTCTCTCATTTTGAAGACAGAAAAACAAAATGCTGTGTTCATGTAAGGGATTTTGGAGAAGCTTTGTTTTTAAGGCATTCTAATCTAAAATCTAGGATCTCCTGTAAAAGTAATCTTTTTGTGCCCTGCACCCCCCACCCCCCAAGGGGAAGAAGAGAAGAAGATGAGACAGTTTGCTGGCAAAAATTCCAGCAGGGGACTTCCAGATTATCAGCTTTCTTGGATGCCACTGTATATCTTAAAGGAAGGTTTTGACCTCTCAGGTCACAAACATAAAAATCCCAAGGCATCACATTTAGCTGTGATACTAACTGGAAAGGCTCAAGCAGGAGAGAAATGCACTATATCCCTCAGTTCTGAAAGTGTTAACATACCACAAAGGCATATCCAAGCAGGCAGACCCCATCTCCTCTCCTGCCCCTGCAGGAAAAGGGGCAGGGAAGTTTATATTTTAATTTCCTGAAGTTTCACTCAGTGTGTTTCACTGCCTGTGTAAGCCAGATGTGTGGTGCCCGGAGATTTACCTCATCCATTCAGTATATCTCAACAGAAGTTTAAAACAAACTGAGCTGCAAATTGTCCATGTTAACTAAACCTCTAGGATGAATCTGTGTGGAAGAAGTAAACATTGAGTTATAAACCAACAAGACAGATAAAGAAAAATAGAGTAAAAACAGGCTAAAAGCAAAGTCTCCTCTCGCTGTATGAAAATGACCCAAGACACATTTGTCCCAAATCAAAGAAGAAGAAAATGTACTTTTTTTTGGAAAATGGAATTCAATCTCTTAATATCATGAGACATAGTTATAACCACAGCACAGTGCACACAAACCAGGGAATTTGGCACCAGGACTTAATAAGTAAAAGTCACTCTTTTTCAGCAATGAGTCATTCAATTCACCTTGGCACTGGCCTTTTCAGGCATTATTTGCCTGGTTGTCTTCTCTCCTCTGGTTATATGGTATCACACCACAGGGGTGCCAGTGGGAACACTGGGAAGAAGAGCCCATGTCAGCTTTTCCATGTTTTGTGCCTGATTCATCTTGCTTCTGTGCCACCTCTGCATCACACCCCAAAGAACAGGATGAGGATTTGGATCCACAATAGCCTGGCCACTGGATGTCCTTGGGAGAGCAGCCCATTACTACCTGCGCCTCCTGGGGCGGAGACAGCAGTGGAGAACACACAGCCTGCCTGGAGCAGAAGGGGAGAGGGATCTCTGCATCCTGCCAGCTCCATGGTGAGTGACAGCTCACCTAGTGAGGGCTGCTCACCTGGTAAGGTGTATGGAGAGATGCTTGGGGTGGAAAACAAACATCAAAAAGTTTTCAAATACCATTGACTGATCCTGCCTAAAAAAAGCATTAATTAGCATGAGGTGCCAGAGGGGAAGATGATCAGTTTACAAACCCCTCTGCAATCTCAGAGGTTGAGAGTTCCTTGATCCACAAAACAAAAAAAGGCAGGTTACTGTCTCCCCACCCCCAGTACCCATGGGTGCACCTATTTCTTGTTGAGAGAAGCAGAGTGGAACATTCTTAGAATACTAAGGTATGACTTTTACAGCACTTTTCAAACTTGTAAACCACCAATAAAGAATCCATATCCAGGAAATCTCTTAAAAATATCTTAACCCTAGACCCTCCAAACACACTCTGCTCCTCTCTTTTTTGTCTTTTGCTGAATTCTGAACCCAGAACACAGAGGAGATGAAAAACAATTTTTCTAATATTGTTGTGGTAAACTAAGACTAAAAAACCACAATAACTCTCTTATATCTTTACTTTTTGAGAAGCAGTGAATGGAAATCAGTATCCCTGCTTTCAGCTTACGTAAATATCTTAAGGTTACCAACATATTGAAAGGGGTCAAGCTGAAAATCTTCAGGGAACTACCAACTTCAAAATCCCCAAAGAAGGGTATAAATAAGAATGTCTTTAAAATAAGGACAAGCAAGTAAGTATAGGCATAATTGAATCAATATGTAAATACTTCATCAACCCACAACTGCTAAACATGGGGTTTATGAAAGTAAAGTTGCAACAGATGAGGAAAAAAAATCCAATTTGCAAAAACAGTTGTCCATTACCTAATGAGAAACATAGACTACTTTTCAAACTGCAGAACATGAAAGAAAAGATTTAAAATAAGGCAGAAAAGATGTGTTTCCTTCAAAGATAAAAGTAGAAGTAAAAAAAAAAACCAACATGAAGTCACAAGACAAGGGTTCTGATTCATTATAGCCTTATGCACAGACATATTTTTCATCTGCACAATGGAAGTAGGAAACCCTGTCACCAACACAGAATGGCTCCTCCTCTTCAAAATTGCATTTCGCAACATAACCATTCAACAGGCTTAAAGATAAATCTGTATAAAAAGATGGGGTGGGTCTGTCACAGCAGGTTACTTCATTTCACTAGATTCATTTTGGCCTTCACAAAGGTGACAA